TTGTAGACAGAAAAAATTCCACAAGTCTGCAGGAGAGGGAAGGTCACCATAGAAGCAAAGGTTCAATGAAACAGACTTTGCACAAAGTCAGTTCAGCTGTAAAAATCAAAAGCAACCAAGATATTTTTGGCACTGTTTCTCATACAGAGACTCACTAAACAAGAGATTTACATCCTGATCACTGAATAAAGGGACAATGGTAAGGGGGTCTGAGACAGAGAACTTGTGTCCAGGAAGCAAACATTTTTATACTATGGCAACCTGCCTCACCATAATGAAGTCTGGCAGTGTCTAACCACAAAGCCTAGCCAGTACATTCAGAAATGTGAATGTCAATTATAAAACTTGAATGAGTGCTTCACAGTTTATGCTTTTGAATTAATTGTTAAACCAAAAAGTATTAATTGGTCTTAGATGTTGTTTAAAATTTGCATTTCTTCTTCACAGCAAATACTTCACAGCACCTGAGTGTTTACAGAATTGCCTGAACAATTTGTTCTCTTTCTTCAGAATTATTTTTCTGTCTCATCTTGATATACTCCTTGCAAATATGAAACCGAGCAAAGGACTTTCACCTGTGACTAGCCACACTGTCTGTGTGTGTGCTTTACACACAGGTATACACTCCATTGTAATTATGAAACAAGCCATCACATTGTAGTAGACACAACAGAATTATGTAAGAAGCTCTTCAGCATTGACTGAAGTGACAGCTTGTCAGTTTTGAAGCATGCACTTAACTTTTAAGTCACGGGGGACACCATGTGGACATATAACGATACTTGCACGAACATGAATTTCAGGTATAAGGATCTAAAATGGGGATATTGTACATTGTACAAAACAGGAAGAGTTCAGAGGGCTGGTTTCAGAGAGTTACAGAAAGAAGAGGAGGGATAAAATCAAAGCAAAAGCTAAAACATCAGCATGCATTTGAAGAGGTACTTGGTGAAGGGAGATTTATGAATGCTCTGGAGCACCTACTGACTAGGCATATTAAAAAGCCGGAGAAATAAAAAGGGTGAGAAATCTAACTCTGGTGAACGAACAGCAAATGAGAGTGGATTGATTTACTAGCACTTTCAGTTGCCACCTTCCACTGTTTTTTCATCCTAGAAACCTGCCACTGAAGGCAGCTACAAAATCATCAACTCCACTATATTAATACAGTGTCTCTGCTGAGTGTATGGGAAGGAAGAACACCAACTGGCTGCTGTAATGTGATCAGTAGATATTAAATTTCGACTATTATAAATCACCTCAAATTTCTTCAGTTCTTCCTTAGCAACTGTGTAAAGCACACCAGAGGAGCTCGGGAAAGCAGCTGTCTTCTCAGAGATTTTTAGCCAGTCTTCAAATTTAGAGTAGTCATCCAAAAACTTTTGCCATAGCCGCCATGTCTCTTCAATTCTGCAATAGATAATGGAAAATTAGGGAATGCTCAGACTGAAGGCCAGCTGACCTCCAGAACTTTATTAACTACTCATCTACAACAGCAAACTAGCACTGCACTAGACAAAAACTGGCTCTTAATCTAACTCAGACAGCCAGGCTGATAAACAGGGAAGGCTGGCTCATTCCATACTGAGCTAGAATAAGATGATGGCAATTTTTTTTTTAATGCATCTGATTTTGGAATCAGTATAAAAAGAAAGTTATAAGTATGCAATAGGAACTCTAAAAATCTGAGCACATGCTAAATAACTTCTGAAATACAGTCCCAATGTAGGTACCTAAGCCAGTATTTTAGAGACTAGAAATTCCACACTACCTTCCACTGCAGAACTTTTTCTTACAGAATGCTAAAGGTGTTGCAGCATACATTTTAAAGTTCTCAGTCATTATTCTGCATTGCAAAGGAACACAAACATTTTTTTTTTGCATTCACCAACAAGTAAAATGCTATCTCTCAATATACACTGTAAACATACCGTTATTTAAAAAAAAAAAAAAAAGTTAAAAGTTATAATTTGACTTCAATTGACTCTGTAAAAATAGTGGCTGACTCTTGATCCTGAAATCAAATTGGCTTAATACTGAGACTGTAAAATCCCAAGAACTTCAACACCACTTGATTCAAAATAACAAGATCTTTTTTGGACAGGTTGTATTACAGCAGAACTTCATCTGCTTTTACAGAGAGAATACATCTTTCCAAAGTCTTAGATATGCAGGTCTGAAAAGGACCTGACCCATGCAAAATTTATGCTTTGTTGATGATACGTTCTTCAACTTGAAGTTTGACATCTGGAAAGTTGCTTTTTAATATGAATAACTGTTTCTACTACAATAAAGATCCTAAATACTGATAGCTCAGTTAACTTACTGGTACAAATCTACTAATAGCAGAATGTGTACATTGCAAGAAAGTAAAATAGAGTTCAATGCATTGTTCCACATTAACTTAAAACAGTTCTGAATTGATGTGCTGGACACAAAGGTATGAAGAGCCTGTATATTTTCAAGACAGACTGTGTCAAAGAAAGAATTTATAAGCTGTATTTATATATATATACACTATACAAGAATTACCATGGCAATAGTACAAAATTACTTAAAGAGAGCAATCTGTGGATATAGAGCAGCACAACTTAAAAGCAACAAATTTTCTGCATAAAATAGAGAAAACCTTTACTAAATAAATTAAGAATATCCCAAAACCCAAAGATCATATGAAGTTCAATTCAGCATTTTGAAAAATCATAAACTTTACCTAGAATTCTTGATATGACTGTGTAAACATCACAGTAATCAAATTCATAACTTAAAAAGGTACAGAAAAGATCTTCATAAATATAGGAGTTCAAACAGTTAAACATGTATTATTACTCATCAGCACAGAGTATATAGCATTGGCCCAATCTAGCCTACATCATTATGGCTATCAAAATCATCCACGCTATCCTAGATGGGAATAGAAAACAATGAATCTTCTGGATATCATGGTCATGCAGTGTACAGATGGTCTAATCATGTGCAATAAAACAGACCACACCCAAGATGCACGGGTGCTACGGCCCACACTTGCTCAGCAAAGCTAAGGTGGGCAGATAAGGAAATTCCAGATGAGTGTTCAGTTCTAAAATTCTTCCAAATAAACAAAATCACACATAAGAGAAACTGTTGCAGAACACTAGGTGCATGAAAACCCTAACACCTGGAATAACATTCCACCCATTCGATATCTAGTTTCCCCATCAGTCTCAGTAGTTCCAGGTTAAACATAAGTGTTATAACTCTCCCTTTTAGGTCATGTTTTCTAAATCTCTTGGAGTCACTGCTATCATCTAAGCTTTCTTTAGTTTCTCTCTCATAATTTCTATGAAGCATGGGAAATAAGACATCATTCCATCAAAGGCCTTGTGAGCAAAATTTGGTAATTGGTATCTGTACCTTGTATAAAGGCACATCCAAAGGCAACCCAAAATTTCTTTTTTTTCCCCACAGCATAACAGTTATTGGCTTTTATTCAATGTATGATCTTTTTGTGACCTCTACACCCTTTTCTTCAGTACTGCAACCCTATAACTTACATCCCATCCTGCATTTGTGCCTGTGGAAGGAAATACTAATTTGTAGGCATTTTAGACTTACTTAAGTCGCCTTTCCATTGACATTGCACAAATGTTCCTCCACCTTCTGTCCAGATTGCGTGTAGCCTGCTGGATAGAGTCACACTCTGCTTCTGTGGCACATGCATCACAGTCATGAAGAAGCACTTCACACAGATTGAGAACAGATGCCACTCCAGTGCTGTGTTTCTCTATGTCCCTCTGAAGTTCCTGCAGGTGAAGAAATTAATTCTTAAGAGAAGTTGCAAAACATGCATAAATACAAATGCATTTCTATTCTACTTATTAAAAAAAATAAATTAATAAGCTTGCAAACAGGAGAAAAACACCCAATAAATACCTATTAAGAGACTGCATCTGCACAAATGGTCTTGCAATGTTATCAATGAGGCCAGGAGAACCTGGCAGCATGCACAGCCCTCCCAGGGTCTACAAACACCAAACCACCACCTGGGACAAACTGCCAGATCTCTGCATGCTCAGCTGAGCATCTTTCACATACATTTAACCAACATCACCAATAGATGGTGGAATTATTCTCAGCCCTTTCCCATTATCACAGAGAATGTAAAGCAGAAGTTAGTAAAAGAAGTGTGACAAGAAAATATGTTCTTATCTACTGTGAGCATTTGGTAGAGGTACCCTTCCTGAACCTACTCTTCCCCAGGTGAGCTAGCTGCAAAGTGGCATGCTTGACATGGAGATCGGCAGCAGCACATGTTGAAGAGTCCATTTCTAGTAGGAGATTTTTCTTCCTTCAACTTTCCAATTCTATAGCATTTTCATTGAAAATGGAAAAGGAAAATTCAGGACAGCTAAAGAAAATGCACTTACACTGTCTTAGCACTTATTATATGCAATCAGTATTATTTTTCCTGTCAGTTTCTTGGTTGTAATGGCTTGTTCTACACCGATGATAATATTTCATCTTGAAGCAATGCTTCAGCTTCAGTTTTGAACTGCAGATTCAAGTTAAGACAAGCCACAAAAGTAATTGGCTATTGCTGTGCAAGAAAGAGAAACCCTGCTTGACTTCTGCCTACATTTGCAATGAATCAACAGAATATTAGATGGAAAAATCAGGATGGACAGTAACAAAACCAAGACAACATAATTCCAATAGTGACAAAGTGACTACACTAAAAAGTGATATATTGCATCTCCAATACTATGTTCACTTCTGATTCAGATGAAGAAAAGAACTATTAGGACAATTAGAGATGTGGAAGTTTATTTAGGAGAACAAGAAGTTGGCAGCTTGAGGATGAGTAGAGATAAACTGCTCTTTATAATTTTGCTAGTGAAGTAAACTATAACATGCAAAGGGAAATACAGTGTCAACATATTGTGTCTACATACATTTAAGGTCTAACTAGAGGAACTTTTCTTACAACTAGTAATATGATGTTTTGAAAGTGCCTTTCA